CTTGAATTGTTAACTAGGGCACCGTCAAATAACTCGAGGAAGCCAAATAAAAACAGAAGACTTTTTTCCCAGTAGTCACATTTTCCTTCCTTCTGGTGATTCGGGGTGGTGTTGGTTTTTTTCCAGAATATATCCTCTGTGGATGGTTGTGCGTCACAGTCCAACATGGGCCAAAAGAATGTAATACTAAGAAAGTATTCACTGTTCTCACTTTATATTGAAGTTCAACGTGTTCTTGACAATCAGCTTTTCAACATGTCAGATTTATGCAAATAGCAGTATGTGTATCTGGGAAGGGTGGGTTATTGCATAGTAGAGTTATTTGCATAGTAAAATCCTGTGCTGCCTCGTTGCCTCTTGTTGTTTTATTTTCTCTCCTGCGCTGACATGTCCAGGTATTTGTAGTGTCAGGGGAGGAGGAGGCAGTCTGTTGCTGGCTGGCTGAACAAGCTGAAATCAGTGCAGTTCTTCAGCACTGAAGTTGCTATGGTTTCTCTGTATGGAATCTGGAAATTTTCTACATGAAATAAGTTAACATACTCTGCTCCTTAGAACTCCACAGTGTTTCCAACCCAGTGAAAACTGGTCCAAAGCAAGTAGCCTTTCCACATTCAGTAGCAGCTGTTCACAGAAGTCCAAAGCTCCTCTTCACATGGCTGTGCTCAGGCCTGTCTAAGCAGTAACATTTCTTGGCCTGAAAACGCTGATTTAAACAATGCTTTTAATTCAGCATGGAGAGAGGATTTATACAAAACTCAACTGTTGCATTGTGTGGCTCTGTGATGTTAAGAACCTGTGCTTTTCACTCAATGTCCTGGAGTGACCCATCTGTAGAATAGGAAATAGTCAGATTTTTAGTTTTATTGATGAGAAACAAGTGAGACTCCCGACAACCTGGGAAGAAAAAACTTATTCTTGGCTCTTCTAAGGCTTTGGTTCTCCGCTGGATTTTAGTTTGCATTTTGGGTTGTTGGTTTTTTTTGGTTTTGTTTTGTTTTGGTTTTTTTGCAGCCTGAAAAATGTTGGGTTTCTATGCAATATCAGTAAAGCATTGTCAGAAGTCATCAAGACCACAGTTACTTCAAAGCAGCTTTGTTAAACGTCCAGGAGCTGACTTGCTTAGCTCAGAATTCACTACTTATGGTTCCTGTGGGTTTTTGTTTGCTTGTTGTTCAGTTGCCTTTTTTGAATGTTGCCTGGAGGAACAAAGTAATTCTTTCTGTTTCAGGCACGTGGACTCCATTCAATCCAGCGACAGTCAGGTCAATTCTTGGTGAGTATGGCTGCGTGCTGTGAAGTAGGCAAAGACTCTGTTGGTTTTCCAGCTCCAGTTTGAGAGAGCAGTTGTTGCAGACTATTTTCAGAGAAACAAATACATACAATTATCACAGTACTTGTACATTATGTTTTTCTATTGTAAAGTTGAAGGCACGTTTAAAGGTCTGATGAACCAGTCTGGTCGTGGTGTCGGTGAGCTGATCTGTGACTGTAAAGAATCCATGGTTTTCTCAGTCTTGTTCTTTTTTCCTCAGTAGTTGTAAGATATGAACTGAAGTATTGACCCTTTTGAACTATAAATGAATGCCCTGTGTTTAAAACTTGCTCAGCAGCAGTCAGAATTCCATCCAATGTGCAATGCAATCTCCGTGAAGGGGATGGTATCTGTAATCAATGTTCCAGTGCTTCTGGCAGTCTGTAGATGTTGTAGGCTTTCTCATGGGTCTTAAGGAAATGAGTCCTTTCTCATTTTGTCACTGGATTATCAGTCGAAGCCTGAATGCTTTGAAACTGGAAATGAAAACACAGGAAAAATAAATATTCTGTAACTCACTCTGATTTTCTTGCTTTATTCTTTCCTCCTTTGGTGAATGACTTAAATATCACTTCAGTAATTCCTCGCCTGTTTTCAGTACTCCCTAAAGCACTCGTTTCTTTCTTAAAATACCAGCAGACCTTCCTCCAGACTTGGCAGAGCTGAGGTTCTTACATGGCTTTCTTTTTTTATTTCAGGCATGTTTGACAGAGAGAACAAAGGTGGTGTGAATTTCAATGAATTCACTGGAGTCTGGAAGTACATCACAGATTGGCAGAATGTCTTTCGAACGTATGACAGAGACAATTCTGGAATGATTGACAAAAATGAACTAAAGCAAGCACTAACAGGTTTTGGTAATTCATTTGTAATTACAGTTTTTATGATTGGATTACGTCATCTGGTGACCTTGGTATTGTTGGGGCTCTACTGCTGGGAGCCATGACTAGAAATAGAAATGAAACATGCGAAAGGCAGCAGGACGAGGGGCCTCTTACTGACACTGCCACAGTTGCAACCTTGCATGTTGGCTTGCTTTTTAGAAGTATTTCCCTTTATGCAGGAAATGAAAGTGCACGTGCTAGTACATGTGTGTGAACTGTTCTTTCCATTCTGTGAGTAAATCAATGGTCACTTTAATCCATAATGATGCTTACTATACCGTGTGAAACTCCTGTTATTGAGCATGGTTTATATTGCATGCCTTCTGTTTGTGCACCTGTGTTGTTCAGTAGACAGCAGGAAAAAACAAGTCTCACGTAACTTCTGTTTCCTGCTTCTGTTGCCCACGCCTGCTGAACAACCCAGCACTCTGTCCAGAAACACTGTAGTAATTGAATCATCCTAAAGGATTTCTCTTGTCCAAGGTTACCGGCTGTCTGATCAGTTCTACGATACCCTTATTCGGAAGTTTGACAGACAGGGAAGAGGCCAAGTTGCTTTCGATGACTTTATTCAGTGCTGTGTTGTTTTACAGGTAAGAAAGGAGATGTACTTTCAATGGCAATTGAAAAAAAACAAAGTTGTGTTCAACTTTTATGGTTCTCGCTTTATAATACCGGAACTAGAACTTGCTTATGACTAACGATCCACTCCAGTGAAGTGCACGAGAGAGCTAGAAACATCTCCAGCTGTAGATCTTCACTCGTTATCTATTTGCATCCCATATAAGTAAATCTGAAGCTGTTTTTGACCTCTTAAGTATTTTTAATGGGGTGAAAAAATGAAATATAGCCTCATTTAGTGTTCTTTTCATTAGCTATGATATACAGTTTCTTTGGGTCTTAGATGCATTCAAGCTGGAGTGTGTTATGTCCCATGTTGCCCTCTTGAGTGTACTCCAAAAAGATGTTCTTGCAATCTAAGTTGTGAGGATTTTCTATTTCAGTCTAAGGCTCTGATTTACAAGATTTTTGACCTAACAGCTAAATTGTTTGATCTTTCATCTCTGCTGTTCCTGAAGGGGCAGTGGTAGTAAAAGACATTTTAAACAAAATGAAACAAAAACCAAACAGCAACAGAAAACCAACCCACCCTTTCAGTTACAGGAATGTTTATGGGGAGCAAGAGAAAAAGGAAAGAGGCTGTTCCTCTGCAGATATATTCTTCTGTTTAGAAAGAAGTCAGTGAATGGTTTATGTAAGTGTCTCCAGCGTTCTGAAATGTAGGCGAGACTCTGAGGAAAAGCTGGGAAACTGCAGCAAAGGTCAAGCTGAATTTTAGTAAGACAATGGAAGAAGAATTTTTCTTTTTTTTTTTTCTTAACACATCTAGTGTTTCCACTGTACCTTAAGCTGGCTTCCAGCACGCAATAAGAAGAGAAACGAGTCTCCAGGGTTGGACTTAAATGTTGTCTCCAGAGGTTCCTTCCAACCCCTGCAACTCTGATTCTGTGTAATTGGGATCCTCATTATCTGCCTAAGTGCTTTGTTCTTCTTTAGCTTTATGTTTGTAGCCTTAATCAAATGCTGCTGCTGAAGCATGTATTGCTTTTATATTCACTTGCAAATATGAGCCAATTTTGATTTGCTATCAACTTAAATTCTAGCAAAGAGGGATTTGCCATTGCTCATCATTCATGTGCTGTTAGTGAAACCAGAGGTAGCTGTTCTGGTCTGCTGCCAGCACCCCCAGTCCTTTGGGGGATTGTTCAGAGACAGCTGAGATATTAGTGATACACTGAGTGGACTGGGATAGAAAACTAGTAATAGTACTCTTCAGCTCCTGGCTGCAGCTGACTCTCAAAGGTAGCAAGAATTTTGCTTTGTTTCCAGCTCCTGAAGAGCCAGCTATAAAAAGTGTTCTGGCTTATAAATAAAAGCTTAGATAGGCTTAGGTGTGTCCTGAGATCACAGAACCAGATCCACTGAACAGCTCAAGCATGAAACACAGCAAAGAGCTCCCTCTGTGTGCCTGACACCGTGCCATGTCTACAAAAGGCACAAAGCAGCAGCATTCATACATGAAAGTGTGGCAGTCTGATCTTTCCCTGTACACAAAGATGTTTTTTCTTTCTCCACATATTTAGAGGCTGACTGATGTATTCCGACGTTATGATACTGATCAGGATGGCTGGATTCAGGTGTCCTACGAGCAGTACCTCTGTATGGTCTTCAGCATTGTATGACATTGACATCTAAGAAGCCCCCACTGGCATTACACAAACTGGAGTTGCCAAATCATCGTGTACTGAATAAGATAATTGCTGTATTGTAATGGATATAATTTCACATCCGTAAATTTTGTATGTTACGTCATCATCGCTTTTAGAATCAATGTTTGGTTTTGTGTTTTACAACTCTAAGATCAGCCATATCATGCTTACTGTAGCCCACAAAGCACAGAATCTAGACGTAACTGGTGCCCTGTCTGACTTAACTTTCTTCCACGTATCCTGCATGGGGACAAAGGACACTTTAGAAATGCCGAATTAAAATAATGCTTGTTAGTTGGTAAGAGTCAAAACTCCGAAGTTGCACAACATGTTTTGCATGTGCCTTACTTTTATAAGAGTATAATGTATTAATTTTTAATACAGAACTTAAAATGAAGTAAAAATGTTAGACCAACATGTACAGTCTACATTTGTACAGTTTTTTGGAGGGTGGTGGCTGTGTTCCTGTGTTGCAGGTTGTCTTTTTGTGTTTGTTTTTACAGTTCACGGTCCCTCCCACTTAAGAGGGATGGCCTTCTCTGCTTTCTGTCTTTACATTCTAGCTGCTTCTTTCAGGGTATCCTTAGGCCTTTTTTAAAGATAACTTCTTCACATTAATTTCTAACGCTGCATCTTCTTCAGTTAACTCCCTTCAAACTCTTAAATCCTCTGGATATACAGTTCCCTCTTAATGTAAATAATCTTTCCTTTTGCGTGAAGCATCCATTCTGCAGCGGCCCTGATGGTCAAGCATTCTCAAAACCTTTCAATCTCAACATTTACAAACAGAAAACAAGCAGAAATATATTAAAAGCACTTACTTAAGGTTCCTTTTATGCAGTTGCTTTCAAGAAGCAACCTGTAAGAAGTAAAAGTTAACAAACTCCCTAGGATTACTCTGAAAGAAAATCTTAAACCTCTTCTACCCAAAGCTGTTATTCTTCAAGATATATTTACAAAGTTATAGTATCTGGCAACTGTGGGGCAGAAAAACTACCACCAGTTGTCCAGTAATGATGCAACAGATCCTTAGTGACACTGGTAACATTTTCTAAACATCTTTCTATGAAATATCACTGACAAATGGTTACAGCACAGACATTGGGAAATAAGAGGTTCTCCTAAAAGACTCAGAACACCTAAAAGGTGTCCTTAGCCTCCAATGGGCTGCTCCTGTGAGATGCTGGGGGAACAGACAGTGCCAAACCAATATCAGAGACCACTTGAAGAGCTTCCCCTTGAGATGCTCCACCGGAAAGAGCTTCCGACTCCCTTCCTGCAAGGGAATTTGTCCCCCTCGACAATTCTCCTGACCAAATGAAACCCAACACATCTAGGATCATTCATAGGTCCAAGGTTGCAAAGCTAAAACCAAAAAAGCTGACATCAGAGGAATTACCCGGGTTGTGGCCTGTGAAGGAAGTCAAGTCATTCTTTTTCAGCCAGCATCATCATATTTCACTGCTGTAGAATTGGAGCCAGCACTTCCTAAAGGAGCTGTATTGGTATAGAACAATCACCAGTGACCAACTGGAATGCCTCAGCTCAGGGGGAAAGCTGCTTCTGAAGAAAAAGCAAGTAACAATAACAAGAACTCGGCTGGGAAATACACAAGCTACCCCTAAAGCATGTTCGATCCCAGATTTTTATCGCTGGTGTTTGAAGGAAAATTAAAATTGGTTCAAAAGGCTCTGGTACACCTTCAGAAACATCGCCCCGGTGCCCAAGGGCGTGGTGTAGCTGTACTGCTGCTGGATGGCAAACATTTGCAGTGCGGTCTGCAGCCCATCAATACCTACCTTGTAAAGCTTGTTTCCCAAAGAAGGCTCAGTGCCCAGAGAAACAGGAACACACACAGCACTCGTTCTGTTCCAGTGCTCTACTACACGGGGGCAAGACAGGGCACAGAGGTTCCTTGGGAGCAAGTAGCCAGAAGCTGACTTGGGGAAATTGGCCAACACAGGAAAACAGAGACAGGACGAGGTCTTCTCTTATATAAGACTAATTGGAGAAGTGACTGAAAGGATGACACAACTTCCCTCCCCTGCTGGGAGACCACTCATCCTGTGCAACAGGCAAGAACAGGAACTGTTCCCCAGAACAAAAAATAAGAAGGGAACGCGGAGGAAGAAAGAGCATCTTGTTGGGGAAGAGATCATTCAGCCACTGTATGCCACTGGAACATACAGTACTGACAGTAAAATCCCACAAGGAATCAAAAGTAGAAAGAAAAACCCTCTATATGAAGACCTCAGCTGAAAAAACCTTAACTCTCATTCAGTTTTTCTGTTTCCAAGAACTTACTTGCACTACACTTCCTGGAGAAAAGGAGGCAGTGAAGAAAAAGGAAAGCAAATGGATTCTGATGCACAGTTCAAACAAGAATAGAATTTTAGAGAATCAAGTGTGTGTGCCCTATCATCAATTGCTTTGTTGCTCTTATGTTACAAATTTACGTGACGTCCAAAAAGTTATTTTTTGTGAATGCAAAAATATATTAGTATAGCTTATGAAGACAAACCTGAGTTCAGCACAAGTATTTAATGTGCAGAGAAAAGTACTCCAGCTATGGTTAGAAAGAAAGATGACAGCCCATAACAGAGCAGTGAAAAGGAGAGCAGAGTACCGGGAGTAAACTGTCTCAAGCTAGTCCTTTTCCTTAGCCCCACATTAGCTAAATATTATATACAGCAGACATCTAAAGGTAAGCACTGGTGAGCTTACAGCTCAAAAGTGCAGAGAGAAGAAATGTAAGTACAGACCACTGGTAAACACAATGAACTGGTGCCCATTTCTGTTAGTGTGTCATTTTGATTATTTAGTTTCCCTTATTATTATGCAATTGCCATATGGGTTCTACTATGTCTTAGTATGCTTTTGTCAGCACAAAGAATGAAGACTTTTCCATTTCAGCATGGATCCATTTCTCAAATGAATTTTTAAGTTGATTCACAAGTTTCATTCTCAACAGGATATAAAAGCTCAGATATTGTACATCTCTGCTGTGCAAAAATAAAACGAAATAACGTCACACCCTCATTGAACAGAAATGTAGTGTATCTATTTCTACAAACACCCCAACTATAAAGGCTTAAGTTAACTGAACTGACCTGAAATTTGTGTGAAGAGCAGCACATTTGGATTTTCAAACAACAGATCTGTATTTTCAGTGAGTGTTCTTCCCCCCAAAATTAACATAAAAGCAAATCTCTTTTTTCTGAGTGGGGAAGGTCGTTAAAAGGGTGATCAGCTTTTTGCTGACAAAATAACATTAACATATGTCAATATTATTTTAAAAAAAAAACAGAAGATTTTTCTCCAATACGCTAAGATGTAACAAATACATTTAAAAAAGCCTAAAAAAAAAATAGTATTCACCTCCTTTATGTGCAAGTTTGTGTTCCACCTACATTTAATATCATAAAAAAGATAACACTCTACCTCCCTTTCCCCTTCCAAAAACACACTTAAATGCAGTCTCTTTCCTGAAATCCAAGATACGGAGATTCTTGAGTCTGTTCATCTGCTTCCAGTTCAGCTGTTGTTGTTCCTTAATCTTTTCCTCTAGCTTCTATTAGCACACTGGCTAGCATCTGAATATTTAGTTCTAGAAAGGGGAAATTAAAAAACAAAGTTATTTCTTTTTCACGTTATCTCACACAATACATCAGAGATTATTTAAATGAAAGTTTTACTGCTAACTGACTTTCCTGGTTCTCGCACATAAGCACAACTTAGATTTGTCCAAAGTCACACCCAAAGGCAGCTGTATGACACTACATGTCCAATGGCCTTGAAATATTTTACAATCTATTTCCAAAGCAGAAACTTTTCTAACATAAAGGAGTATTTTTCCAAATGGAAAAAAAAAAAAAAAAAATCAGATAACAAATCAGCTCTTTGGTAACATCTGTTTTGCTATCCCAATGCACTTGATCCATTTTGCATACTTTCAACAATTCCACCCAAGTTTGGTTCTGCACATTTTTTTCTTTTTCTTTTTTAATCTATGCCAATGTATCCCCTTCCCCAATAGAAAATATAGCTAGCAAGATGATCCAAACAAAACTTTCAATTCGGGAAATTTCACTTCACTAATCACAATCTTACAATTGCTGGATAACATGAAGCCAGCTGTCTGAGCACCCCAGTCATCATAGATATATCTTTTCCTTCCAGCCTGTTCAAAACACTAGGAGCAGGACCAACAGCTTCACCAAACATCTTCACCAAACATCTTATCTGAGCTTCTGAACTGCTCATTATCTCTGATTATCTCTGTACGAGCCACTGCCAGGGAAGGAACAGTGATGTGAACCCCAATCATTTTTATCACCTGATTTCTCATGCCTATATTCTCGACACCTAGATTCCCAGTTCCAGTTAGATTCCTTGTTCCAGCTAGAGCCCTGGTTCCAGCTACAGCCCTGATTCCAGTTTGAGTCCCTGTTCCAGTTAGGACGCTGGTTCCACCTAGAGTTCTGGTTCCACCTAGAGCCACCTCTTCTTGAAAAAGCAGAATTTGTAGAAAACGTACAAGAATTCACAGCCCCATCACTCCTGTAAGAGAAATAGCTTTGCGAAGAATAGTTTGTTGAGTATCTTCCAGTAGAAGGATGTGAAGAATTGGGATAGGGTAATCTCTTATCACTTATACCCCTTGCATTGCTACACGTTGGTCGATTCCTCCAACTTGCACCTTCCCTGTCATATGGCATTCTGTTACCAGGGAGCTTGTCTCCTTGCACATCTTTGGGCGTATACTCTGTTGAGTACTCATTCACAGAACCTGTCGCATAAGAAGAGGCCCCAAGGGCTGGATTGTTGTTAGTAGCAGACTGGTTGAACTGCCTCAGCCACTCACTGATACCAGCAGAACTTCCAGTCTGGAGAGCAAGAGAGTCCCTGAGTGCTGACATCACTGCAGAGTCAGCAGATCTTAGTCCACAGGAAGATGATCCATCATCAGTTTGGTAACTGTGTGAGTTGGCAGAAGCAAAAGAATTATCTGCAGCACACTGTTCATACTGAGAGAAAAAGCGTTGATTCCAGTTAAAATTTCCTAAACAAAAAAATAAACACACAACGTAAGGAAGGGCATCAGAGATTAAGGAAAATACCAACAAAAAGACAACTGTTCTTACGTTTCATAAAGCGTTTTTTTCCTGTTTCCACATTTCCCACCTTTGTACTCACCTGAGTCCTTCCATCTTTCCACCCGAAAAAACTTCATGCTAAATAGGGCACACAGAGTTTTCAGTGGCACCTTCTGAAGTATTTTCACACAGAACCAAATGACTGAACATAACCAGTGTAGTTTGGGTGACTTTTCTGTTTTATTTTTCTTCTAATTCATTACATACATCTGGGACAACTGTTTGCAAAATAGGTTTAATTCATTACAAGCCCCTTTTTATCTGACTATTTACTGGGTTAGAAAACATCAGCTTTTGTGCTACAAAGCTGAACAAAGAATAACAGAAGGGAAATAACTGACTCAACCCAACTAATTACCTAATAAATAATCTGAATTCAACTGTATTTTGCTTTACTGTCATAGCATGATAAAAACCAACCAGTGGAATTATCACACGAAGGCCTCTCAGGTAAGATGTATCTAAGAGAGATCAAAGAGGTCAGGAAACATTAACTTTATGTAAGAATAATTATAAATAATGAGCCAGTGTGCCTCAACACTTCTGATTTTAGCACACGTGCTCTTTAGCTGCTGTGGATATGAAATAAAATGGGTTAGCTTAAATCACATCATTTCCTTCCAGTGCTTGTTTTCTTCTTAAATATATCAGTTCTGCAGCAAACACTGAAACAAAGATTTACAAAAATTCAAGTCTTCCTAGCATCTAAAAATACAGTCAACCAAAAATTTGCCAAAGCTCTACTTTTCCAGCTTACCCTTACATCCTTTCTTACCAAGTTTCTGCGCACCCCAAGATTTGTGGGACAGAGGGGCAACTCATTATCAAATAATTAGAAGGCCAGTAACCAAAAGAAGTAAGCTAGAACCTCTTTCATTGCATCCCCTAGCAGTATCAGCAGAAGCATTCAATGTAAAAATGGGAAATTCCTCTCTGAAGACACCTTGACATGCCAGCCTTCACAGCGAGCTAGGCAGATGCTACTGCTCGGATTTCGAGTGACCTCTATTCTTTGTAATATTATGCAGTGAGACAGAATGTTCCCAGACAGACAGGGTTGAAGTCATGAAAGCTTCAGAAAATGATAGCTTGAACTGACTCAGAGGACAAAGTGACACAGCATTCTAGTAAAAAAGTACTATGGCTGGCCACGAAAATAAATTAGGAGCAGAACACTAGAAGAACAAAGAGTCTACATTACCTTTGTATTTTCCATATGGCTTATATGGTTTGGTGAAGTTTCTTCTTGCAGGAAATCCACCTCGAGAAACTGGCATCAATGGCTTCAGTCTGTTAGTATAATTCACCTAGATTAAGCAAAAGTGTAGAATGTCTGTTTTTAAGCTGAAATGTACAGCATTCAAAAAATTTCATCATAGAAAGTTAGCAGATACAATTTTAGGTGGCAGCGAACTCCATTTGAAGAATGTTTTGCTCTGTTGGTTTCAATTACTACACTGTACTACAACTGGAAAGCGCTTTTTAAGAGGTATGAACCTGAAGAATAGAGTGAGGAATGAGGATGACAATACCACTTGTTCCAGATTTCTTTACTGTCCCTTGACATCGCCTGGCTAAAATATAAAACTGCTGCATATGCAAATCCTGTCTCTAGCTAGGGAATGCAGAATGGAAGGCCCAACTACTGCCTGAGATTAAATGACAATTTTTAACCAGCTCATGAGAACTGCATTTTACTCACATGCCAATGTGGCATATATAGGAAACAGAAAAACAGAATACTGCAAAGATACAGGTCAGATACTGTTAACTTAAGCTGGTTTCAGCCCCAGTCTCCAGCCCCTTCCTCTTTGCAAATGTTTTTCACAGTCCTCACGTATTTTCAATGCCAACACAATTCTCAGGCTTCATACAATTTCAAAAGAATCCAGACAGGGCACTTTCTTGCTTTGTTTGTTGTTTTCAAAATAGTCCAGGCTGTATTTTAAATGAGAAAGGTCTTTAAACTTGTCCATTTTGTACTTTACAGTAAATCCCATAACAGGAACAGCAAGAAATATTTTTCCTATACGAATCAACTGCTCATCTCCCAGCAGGAAATTGGAAATGGTAACCTTCAAGCTGATGTAGCCTAGCAAGTAAGCAGACTTCTGACCTGTTGTTTTTTTTAGTGAGCAGCAAATGCATGACAATTTGAAAGTGTAGATCTCCAAAAGATACTGACATATGTTGGAGACAAAAGTGTAAAGAGTTACCATCACTCAGCTGATATGGAGCATATTGTTAATGCTTAAGAATCCATTCTGAAATTTCTTTCAGAAAAACACATACTAAATTTTATGGATCAGTAGCTGTCAGAGGTGGATAGTCATTTTTGTACAGATTCTGGTCAATCTTCACACTCTTTTTTCTGTGTGAGTATTCAGTTTTCACGCAAAGAAGTTGTCAAGATTTGTAAGCACATCCAAAAAATGGCAGAACATCTCACTTACCTTCATCTTAGGAGATTAAAGATCTCAAGTGGGAGCAGAGTTACCAGTAAAACATTTACCCAAACTCTCATGAAAGAAAAAGTGACACATTTGGGTAACAGTTAAATGCCTGATTAATCACAGAAGAAAAGCTACCAAGCAAGGGACTGAATGTAAAGTAAGGATGACAACCAGACATCATGATGTAAAATGGAGCATAAATCTGGGCAGGAAACACATGCAAAATGGAAGGAAAACAGATGGAACACAATGAAGAACTAAGAGAAGCAGTGCCAAGCAATTAATGAATTTGATTCTTCAAAATTGTAAAATAATTTTAAAATATTTAAATGAGGAGGGTTGGCCTATTCTGAACTGTGGCAGTTTGGCAGGGCGTTAACATAATTAGTTCCCACTTCTTGCCTCCCACTGGTAACATCACTACAACTCTGGTCAAGATGAAGTCACTTACCACTGCTTTCTTTTCACAAAAGGACTTCAAAGCTTCTGTGAGTTCCTGTGTAACACGAACAACACGTGTTGCTTCTGAGTCTGAGGTGATGTGAAAAGTCTCCTGTTGAGAAACACAGCAAGAATTGCTACCTCATTGGGACACTTCAGTGTCATGTATACAAACGGATCAATTATACTTTCATTTTGATATAACCAAGGTTAGATCACTAACGTACACATAAGAAATACATAATACACATACACAACATGTATTTGAAAATACACCTAACTGTAAATATAATTATGTCCTAATAAGAGGCAAAACATAACCCTTGATGTCTGTAGCAATCCCATACTGACAATGATGAACATTCTGTTGCAGACCTAAGCGTTAAATTTATGCACCTCGTCAAAACTTGAATAAAAAGTAAAGTTCAGATACTTCATCAATGCCTGATTCTGCCATTTTGGTAACAAAAAGATGAAAGTTTCTACCATAATTTTCCAACGTATATTTTGGGGATACAGAGTTTTAAAAGACACTGATATAACTATATAAAGAAAAGTTATGTGTATCTGTCTTTTTAATATTAAATCACAATAATTAAGTGTATGAATATATAAATGATTGCAGAAAATTACAACAGCAACTGAACAGGCAGAACTGCTCCACTCCAACAGCTACAACACTGCTCTAGATCTTCCAGTTTCACTTGGTTATCTAGTTCTACAGCAGCAGCAGTCACAGCATCACAGACAGCAGGACCAGACTGGCTCCTATCACTCAGTTTATCAATAACCCTAGCAGGCATGGGCAAACCACAGCACTTGAGCAACATCAGTGATGCTAAAGCTGCTTGTTAGGGTGGCTCCTCAACAAAGAAAAGAATGGTTCAGTGACTAGTGAGACCATTCACGCTGAAGCCAGCATGTTCTGAGCTTTTCAAAAAGCAAAGTCCATGAAAAAGTACCTTAGAAATTAACGTTGGAGTCAAATAAATTTGAGCAGTAATCAATGGCTCCGTTACAATATTCAATGTTTCACACAGGAGAAACTCCACAACTACTAAGACTTACCAAATCCTTATCACAATTATTTGGCATACGTACCAAGAACTCTAAAGCTTTTTGTTTCCAAAAAGGATCATTCTGTGGGATTGGGGAAGAAAAATCAAAAGAATGAACACACAGTGCTTGTAACACCTTCCTGTACAAAACAAGACTGTTTAATCTTTCATCCAACAACAAAAGTCAACACAAATGAAAGACAGCATTTTTATGTTGCAGCTGTAAACATTAAACTCTAAATAGCACAGAGCTCCTCAAGTCAGATACAGAGATCATTTAGAATTTCACTTTTGAATTAGAATTGAATTAGAAAAAAAGGACAATAAATCTTTATATGTATTTTCAGATTTAAACCAAACCTCCAGAATAGAACATCTCTGATCTGAAGAGGGGCAAAACAGTGGAGAATGCATCATAACTCGGGGCACTTGGCCTGCAGATGCTGGGTCTCAGACTCAGGGATTCCGAACAGAAATCATATGAACTACATGGGTCAATACCCTGATGTACAGTATTAATTTCCCTGGTGGTGTGGTGAACATAAAACTCTAGTCACTAGGTCAGTTACTTTGTTTCTGTAATAGTATCAATAAAATGGGAAATGAAGCCCAAAAGCAGTTGTTTTCAGGAAGAAAAAAAAAAAGCAAAGCGAACATAAGAAACTGTTAAGACATTTGCAGAATTATTACTTCTACATACCTCATGCTTATGATCATCATCCCACCTTAAAAAGAAAGAAAGAGAAATACTAAGACACATTTAAAAGATTACTAAAATGTCAGGTTTACTTTTGTGTCTAGGATCAAATATTTCGATTTCCAAATGTATATAACTCAACAATACAGGATACATTTTTCTGTATCTAAAATACTGTATTTCTTAAAGGTCTTTACTCTGACTCTCAAAAAACAACAATTGCACTGATGAACTCTACTGATCAGCTAAAGGAGGTGACTGAAGTAATGGAAACTTTTCCTTCATATATGAACATAGGTGCCTTTTCTACAGCTTAGGCAATGGCATCCCAAATACAGCGGTAACAGCCTGACATTTGAATTGCAGTCTTCGTGCAGAGGTACATCAGACTGCTATTGAATTGCATAAGCCATGTAACATCTAAAAAATCACTGCTACACAGAAACTGAATATCACATTTTATTTCAGGTGTTTTCCTCCCAGGAGAAAGCAACAATTTACACAAAATGAAGCACAATGGAAAGGCAATACATATTCCCTGTACGTGATATTTGTTACAGAAAAGATGTACTTAACAAGTAAAGTGATCTCATAAAGAAATCTCTTTTGATTCCCCTACAGAAGTTATAATCTCACCTTGCTTTCTTCTTTGATGGGGCTAGAAAATTAAGAAGAATAATTAGCACCATTGTAGAGTTTCCACCATATTACCGCAATAGAAACATTACTCAAATCAATCTGTAACTGGCTCTGAAGTAATGGCAGTCTTTTAAAGGCCCAATAATCTCTCTGGCCAGTACAGTCTGTATTAATTAGAAAGGAGGGAAAGCTCAGTAAAACAAGATTATCTTTAAGACAGTAGATGTGCTTCAGAGAATCAGTTACTGCATCATACAAAACTTAGCACTTCTTAATGTGTTCCAGGCAAGCAACTGGGCAAGTGCTGATTCTCAGGACAAATGACATATTTGTCCCTACAGTATGATGCTGAAAGATTCATTTCTGTTTTTTTCTATCACCTGATGTTAAACAAATACTGAAAAGTTGCAACAAGAATTTGCACTGTACGTCCCAGAGTTTTCTGCATGTCAGGAGAAAAAAAGATTGCCAACATTTTAAAGAAGACATCCAATGAAGAAACAATCACAGAAACAGGATGGGAGGGATCTCTGCAGGTAGAACCACAGAATCATACAAAAGCTCAGGTTGGAAAGGATCCAATTCCCTCAACCTGCTGGCTACACTCTTCCTAATGCAGTCCAGGCAGTCAGCCTTCATTACATCCAGAGAACATTGATGATACATGCTTGCATTGTTGTACATAAAAATCTGTAGGTTCTTAAAATTTGTTCCCTATACAAATAGTGTCCAGTTTGTATCCAGCAGGGTGTAATGTAAGAATTCATATTTACTTACATATTTTCTTACATCTTACAGATGTAAGAATTCATATTTACTTTTGCCAGAATTCAGGAGGTTTCTGACACCCCATTTGTCTAGCTTCCCAAGATCCCTCTCAATGGCAACTTTGTTTTATCACATACTAAGCATTCTTCCAAAGTTTGATGTAATCTGCAAATTTGACAATGTTGTATTATATTCCATTATCCAGATTGTTAATGAAGACGTTAAGCAGTGCTGGCACCAAGATCAGCCACTCAGGAATGCCACTAGCAAACCAGCCAGCACACCTAAAACCACTCACAACTGTTTTTTGAATCTAAACGTTTTCCTCAGCTACCTTTTACCCAACCTGTATAATGATGGTATCTCCTCAGTCTGGCTACGACCATACTAAGTGAGACTGCATTGAAAGCTTTCCTGAAGTTAAAACAACATCCAGCCTTCCATGTCTACAGAGCCAGCCCATGTCATTGCAAAAGGCAATCAAGTTGGTCAAGCCCAGTTTCTCCTTAGTAAATCTACAGTTTGTTCTCAGTCATCATCTTGACTTTTACACACCAATTAATGACATATATAAGGACTTGTCCTATGATTTTTATAAGGTCCGGTCAATCCTGTAGCCACATGCCTCACTTTTCAAGAAAAGTACACCTGGCTTTTTCCAGGTCACCAAGGAATTCTTCTGATCATGACCTTTCAAAGACTCCAAGAGAGGGTTCCCCCAACACCAGACTTATTCCATTTTTTCCTATGTATTTGCAACATGCTTGATTTGCCAGTCCCTAAACTAATTCTCCTCTACTGTGACTCCACAACTACATACAACATCCTGAAAGCAGACCTTTATTCAGTAAAGCTGAAAGTGAAGAAAGCAACAAGTATTTCAGTACTTTCTGTGTCCTTTATCACTACGTTATTTGCTCTGGTCTTCAATGGGTCAGATCTTTTGCTGCTGTCACACAGAAGCCTTTCTTTTGACCTTCACCAACAAGTCTTCTTAACTCCACCTCAAATACATCTGCAATGCCTGTGTATTTCTTGTTGGCAGCCTGCCCTCAAGTCTGTATGTTTCCTTTTAAGCACTGAAGATTAGTTGGCCTTTCTCTCTTCAAACTCACTAGCCACCTGCTATACCTGTCCATATTCTTGCACAGCAGAATGGATCATTTCTGCTCTTTGAGAGTTCTCTCCGAAGACTTATTATTTCTGTTGGGTTTCTTTTTCATGGCAGCCTCTCAAGGAATACTGGCTACCAGTTTTCTGAAGATGATGAAGGCAGTTCTCCCAGAGACCAGGATCTTGGTCCCCATTCCCCTAAGGATTTTAAGTTATATAATCATAGGAGGGCTTGGGTTTGAAGGGACCTTTAAGTTATCTAGTTCCAACTCCCCTGCTATAGGCAGGGACACCTCCCACTGGGCCAGGTTGCTCAGAGCCCCATCCAGCCTGGCCTTCAATGCTTCCAAGGAGGAATTCACAACCTCACCAAGCAACTTGCTCCAGTCTCTCACCACCCTCACTCACAGTAAAGAACTTCATCCTGATATCCAGTCTTAATCTATCCTCTCCAGCTTAAAAATACTTCCCTTTGTTCTGTCACTACCTGCCCTCATAAGAAGTCCCTTCCCAGCTTTCCTGTAGACTCCCTTCAGGTACTGAAAGGCCACTATAAGGTCTCCTTGGAGCCTTCTCTTCTCAAAGCTGAAGAGCCCTAGTTCTCTGAGCCTGTCCTCATAGGGGAGGTGCTCCAGTCCTCTGATCATCTTCATGACCCTCCTCTGGACCTGCTCCAACAACTCCATGCCCTTCTTGTGTTGGGAGCTCCAGAACTGGACACAGTACTCCAGGTAGGGTCCTAAGAGAGAAGAGTCACCTCCCCCAACCTACTGGTCACTCTTCCACGCTTTAGCTACAATCTTTGGAACTGCTTTTAGTTTCCAGCTGCATTCTGTAGTAGCATTAAAGTAGCTTTTAGAACAGAAAATATTGATGCAAACAGAATTCAGAAACTAAATTAGACTAGAAATTCATATGCTGTACTATCACATTGTATTTATACAGATTCCCACACTTCATAAGAACGCCATAGGACTTTCAAGTTCATTAGTTCTCTTCTGTGAGTAAGTGATTACTGGAATTATCTTCATAAGGTACAGATGGCCTTTCTTTAGAGAACAAAGAAATGTTTTAATTTTTCCTTTGAGGAAAGCAACAAATCAATCCCTCCAAAGCTTCTCAAATGCATATAAAGATACATAATCATGTTGGTTTTGCATGTGATTTTGGCAGTAGCCAAAACTTACACGTTAATATCTGTTTTGTCTCTTACCCAGATAGTGTTTCTTAATTACATCCTCAAACTCATTCTTGCTGACAGAAGGGAGCTCTGAAGATGAAAGTCATTCTCTAAAAATATGATCTACCTTAAGCCCACACAGTTGTTAAGCCAGTAAGCATGAATTCCTTCTAAATAAGTAGCGTTTTTATTTTGGAATAAACTTGATGTTGTGCTGCTGTGCTTACTACCTAGTTAAAGCTGAACATCACAACACTCTTGTCTGTTCCTTCCAGCTCTTCATAGCCTGTGGAACTGCATGGATTATTTTTTTTTTTTAATATCCTGAGTGAATACTTGAATACGTCTTTCCTATAGACGTCCTATAGAAGTCAGTAAGCTCTGAAATCAAATACTATCATGTCCATACAACTTTCCTCATGTTAACACTATACAACGCTGCCTACCTGAAAGTTGATTATCAGTTGTTTTGTCCTTCACTTACTAGCAATCTGGATCATCATTTCTCTGAAATACTTAAAATATTTTACATTCTTCTAGAAGATGAACTGTCAGTATTACACCTTCTATATTATAGAGAAAAAAAAAAAAAGAAAAAAAAAAAATCGGCAGCAGTTTCCAGAAGATTCCCATACAAGGAAAAAATGTTAACAACATCCATTCAGATTTATGAAGAGCAAGGTACAGCGCCGAACTTGCTAAAAACCTCTATAGCAAGATTCTGACCAACAGTTCAGACTGTGGTCAGAATACACAAATAGTTCTGGAGGTTTTAGAACTCATTCATAAAGTTTACTCCGAACTGAGAATTACAGGACCAGGCTAACGGATCACATTCCATCTCCTTCACAAAAGAGACAAAGCTTCAAAAAGGTCTCTGCTACTTTGTTTGGTAGACCAACATAAGTAGGTACAAGACACAAAAGCCATCAGTGACCAATTGAAATAAATCATCACTGTGGTAGGCACTACAGGCAGGATTCAAACTGACATACACTGCTGACCAAGCAATCTGCACCAATTTCAATAAACCTACTGCCAGTAGTTCTAGGGTCAAAAGGTAGCAAGTACACACACCTCTTCACGTTGGAAAACGATACAACTCAAATATACTGCATAGAAGGAGGATGCTGCTTTTATGCTGGAAGGTTTTATTTCCATTGCTCATTCAAATAAATTTGCTAAAAAAAGATAACTTCTGCCTTTAGCAGCAATTCAGCACTGATTTGTATGCATTTTGATGATTGAAACTTGGTGGAAAAGGTTTTATCAGCTTTTTCAAAGAAATCCATCTAAAACCATATTTCTATACTTCTTGACTTTTCTTGATTATAAAACTACTGTAGTTATCTTAAATACCTCCAGAACCAGGCAGCTAAAAAAGTCTCTTCATTTCAAATTTACAAAAACTGGAAAAATCTTTGAAAAGAAAACATTTTGTGCTATTACTTGCAATTTTAATGTTTTAAAACAGTCAAACCCTTCAAGTTCAAGCAGTAATTCAAACTAAGCTGGTTTTGGCTGTCAAATATATTATATTCAAATAATACATAAACTTACGTGAGGTACTTGGTCTTATGTAACCTTCAATCTAGAAAGCAGACATAGTTTTATATTAGATTTTTCTTGTAAGAGTTCATTACAATAGTCCCTATTGCAACAGTCTGTAGAGACAGAATAAGTAGTTTTATTCGTCCTAGCACAGTTTTACAAATTATATATAACCAGTACAAATTAAATTTGAGAGAAAATTCCCAAACATTTGAGAAAGTTAAATTGTGTTAGTTAAGAATCACTGAAGTAAAGCATTAAAATCTCCAGCTGGACATTTTCTAACTAAAAGGAAATTAACTTCTTCAACAGCTTCATTTTTTTCACAGGAATTTCAAGACTGTTGTTCCTTTCCCCACATGTTTTAGGGTGACTTTAGCTTACATCTTGATTCTACTTAGCACTGCACTTTCTAGTCACACACAAGAATTTAACATGATTTGTCAGCAGTACTTTTAAAGCTTCCTAGGTCAAACATAAATGCACTGGTTAAAAATACATTATTGGATATTTAACATTTACTTCCAGTTACCTTATACATTTTTAATCCTTCAGTCTTCTCTAGCTCTCCTGCTATTCTTTTCAGAAATGAGACTTTGCATTCTTTTACATCTGTTGCCTTTCTCTTCATTTTGTCTGGAAATTCTTTAGACTGTTGGCAAAAACAGTTTTAAATGAGCAACGTCAAAATTCATATATTAAAAAACAGGCACATTTCATTTCTTGGACAAGCTTCTAAGGACTGGTAAACGTAGTTTTGAATATGAGGAGGTAGTTTCTCCTCCATAACACAATCATTTAAACGTTAATGTTGAAAATGTACAGGCTGTCTTCACAACACAATTTGGATACTACATGAAGTTTGCAATTGAAAGGTAGTGTGCTCTGTACAATATCCAACAATACCATGGGCATGCTGAAAAATGAGAGAGAACCAAGGACTGAGAACCTGATCTCAAATGAGATTAAAACTCTTAAGAACAGAGTTCAAGAAGATGCAGACATGCACCTCTGGATCACATTTTCAGTAGTTCACAGCCTTATAGCTATTCCTGTTGGTGTGACCCATCAATACTCAGTCAAGCAATTATTAGTGACATCAAATGGGGGAGGTTACACTTCAAACTTGATGTAGGTATTCAGAGGAAAAAAATTATCTTTTTTTTCCTATCTTGTGATCAAAATTACTTACTATGTATGCTCTTCTGTGTTTATATCCACTAAGATGTTCTATCATGGGCGCCATCTCTGTATTAAACCCACACAGCTTGCATTCATAATGCGGCTCTCTTCTTCCTTCAAATCTGATTTCAACCACATGTTCTAAGCCTGTAAAAGCAAGAATTACGAACATCTATATTTAAAATAGATATTATAAACAGAAGTATTTTTTTCAAAGATGCTCACTAGAAGCCAAAATTAATAAAGAAGAGTATTCCATTTTCAGAATTTCAATGCTACTTCAAGATCACAAAGGTCAGGCTTGCTACCCACATAAATTAAATTCTTTTCTTTACAATGTTTTATTCAGGAGGGAAAAAAAAAAAAAAAAAACTTCTTTGGAAGATTTGCAAACTCAGTAAAACAAAAATATAGCTACTCTCCTGCCAGGATATTTTTAAGCAACAAAAAAACCACATTTCCTTCAATACAGCCATATGAGATAATTAATGGAGACATATCAGTCAGTCAAACAAAAAACAAAGACAGGAAATACCATATCAAGTTCTGTATTAAAAACAAATCAATTTCAATTACTCAATCAAATAGAATTTGAGTAGCAAATTGTAACGTTTGAGTAGCACAAAACATATCCAGAAATAACAATAATCCCTTCATAAAATCAAGTCCTTTGTTAGATAATTTTTTTTTTTTTTTTTTTTAAGCAAATCCATTTTCTCTCCTGTTGATTCTTAATTTTGTTCCTAGTCACTGAAAGACAGACTGCATCTTAGAAACACTCAAAACTCCCTAGATGTGATGCTTATAACTAGCATTAAAAAGTTTACTTATAAACTTGTGCTGCATAAGGAGCGACAGGCAGGTGAAGGCAGCAGGACAGGTGTGTCCACTAAGCACTGATAATGCTGCATGTGGAAAATTCCTGGCTTCTCAGAACAAGTGAGAGGGACAAACTTGAAAGATTTCTGCAAAGGGCCACAAAAATGATGAAGGAACATAAATACTTTTCAGGAGGAAAGGCTAAGAGAGCTGGAAGTGTTCAGCTTGGAATAGAGAAGAAAGGAACCTCGATGCATACAAGCATACACGAAGGGAAGGTGCAAAGAAGATAAATACAGGCTCTTATCAGTGGTGCCCAGTGACAGAACAAGACGCAATGGGTTAAAACTGAAGCACAGGAGATGAATTCACCGTGAGAACGACTGGTTATCAACAGAAGTTGCAGAGTCTCCACCACCTAGCAGATATTCTAAAGCTACCTAGATACAGTCTTAATCATCCTGCTTGGTGCTTGAACAAGGGAGTTGGGCAAGATGACCTCCAGATGGTCCTTCCAATCTCAGTCTTTTTGTTTTCTGCAAAAAGCATCCTTACTGAGATGGTTCCTTCAGGAAGTAATTATCTAACTAGCAAGGTGCATAGAAGAGGTGACTTTTACAATGGTTGTGTAACAAGTTAAACTTTAGAAGGCATAATGTATAAGATATTTCTCATTAATTACCCAACAACAATTACATAATGAAACAGTATCAACATACCACCTCAGATTTCAAAACACATGCAATACAAAGATATAGCATTCAGAAAACAAAAAAACAACATACCAACTAGAGGTTCTTCTCTTTTGGGATCATTAATAAAATCCTTCAGACACGTAATGTCCTTTGTGAGTCCTCTCTTCACTAAGGTAAAAAAAAAAATAATACACAAATAAATATTACAGTAAAATGAACAAGTGCATTAGACAGCTTACATCCAATTTCTATGATTTTACAGGAGTTTCTAATTGAAACTTATGAGAAACAAAGCTAATTTTCACTCTGAAATGTGAAAAAGAAATGGATAGGATCTCTATCACTCACAAGAAGACTCCAGCACCGCACTTTCAATAGCATTTTTACACATAAGAAATTAATGACTTCAAGAGATCCAAAGAAACAAAAAAAGATCATCTAGCAGAATCCAACTTACTGACAAAACACTCTCAAGTTCACATTCATAGCCTGTCCCAGACCATGTCAGTCAATATTAAAAGAAAGAATTAAAAAAACAAGCAAACCAATTTGCCTGCCTCTCATTTCTGCTAAAACTCTAATGATCATATTGCACTCTCTATATTACTTGTTTGGAATCTGGAGTTCGATACTCATATTGCCTTAAATCTAATAAAGAGACATAAATTCACTAACATGGCACTAATTGAAACTCCCTGCATTCTCTGGGCAGACCAGAAGCTGCACAATCATGTTTGTTATGCTCCTGAGCATTAACTAGAATTCTTTCAGTCAGGGGTGTCTCTCACTCCTCACTGGGTTTTATTTACTTGGTTTTATCCTTAACTGTCCTAGAACACGTTTAAAGTATCCCTGGTCAACTCAGAGCACCAGCTACACCTATCTGTAAAACAAACTCAGTGAGACAATAAATGTGTTCAAAGTATTGGCTATTATAAAAGAGTATGCTCAAGTGTTAAAATATCTGTTTCTACATCTGATAAAAATGTGCAGAACTAGAAGTTATCTTCCTAATTACTTACAAGTAATACATACACCCCCAGTGAGATGGCTGAGTCACCATCCCCGAATGTGCTTAAAATCCATTTGCACATGGTGCTCAGAGGCATCATTTAGCAGAGGGTTGCTTAGGGTAGTATCGTTAGATTGCAGTTGGACTTGATCTTGAAGGTCTCTTCCAACCTGAACAATTCTACGATTCTGTGATTTTAAGTGTATTTCAACCTACTACATTTCCTAAGAAGAGTCATAACAACTGACAGTTTCTTCAAATCCAAGCAAACAGAAGTTGGAAGTCCAAGCACTAAACAATGTGTTTCCGTTTCTTGTCCTTCTAGGACACCAGGTTACATTCAGAGAAGAACATTATCAGGACAGTGAACTCCATGTTTGCTCTTTATGTTCATTCCACCAGGAATACGTTTTTGCCGCCACCAAGCCAAATGTCAGGGCTGCATATATTAAAAAAATACTTCACAAAATGCCAGCACTTAATATATACCCATTATCTGTTGTAACTTAAATGTGGTAGAAGATACCTGACAGGACAACTCCTGCCACAGGATAGTGAGGCCAAATCTTCCAAAACTTTACAGGCCTTCTTAGTTTTATTTATTTATTTGGACATGCATCTTGTTTTACATGCTTCTGTTAAACTTTCACTGTACTGTATTTGTATATACAAGCATGCTACAGAATGCTCAGTTGAAAACTTCATGATCTAAAAAGATATTAGATAATCAAGAAGAAAAAAAAACTATGATGCCTCAGGTATTGAATCATTTCACTGAAAATACACACCTAAGAACTTTTCTTAAATAAAATAACCAGTGCACAAGAGAAACATTTGGTAACTTGCATTACTTCTTAAGAAATCAATTAACAAACGCTTTGATGGCTTTATTTTAATGATGCCCAAAGTTGTATTTAAAAAGGAGGTTAGCTCATTTACATTCAGATACCTGGTCTCTGCGTTTCATAGCTCATCGTAGTTCGGAAGGGAGCTGGAGGACCTAAGATGACAGTTTGACAGTCAGACCAATTCTTCTCAAATGCTCATAAGTACATAATAGATCATCCAACCATGTTAACAACCTGAACAGTTATCTTCACTATGCCTGTTTAATAAAGGCTAAGTTTACAATGGTATTTCATCTTGGTGCACTTTCCTTCTGTAACTTAACTTTCCCAAATATGAAAAAGTCTTCTTTTCTGCTCACCTTCCTTACTTATACAGTATACCAAACACATGGATAAATACCAGAAAAAACACAGTGTATCCCATTACTTCATTTTTATTTTTATTTTTTTAATTGCTTTGCATACCATCTAATTATTTATTTTAGCTATTCGGTTTTCTGCATGAAAGCAGATCCAGCAGAATAGGTGCCTGACAGACAAACTCACACCTAAATATTTAGAGTCTAGATAGTCCCAAGTCATTAAATTGCATGACAAGAACAGTACTTTTACACAGGCATCTGTACATATTTTTAACCAATTTCAGAGTGAATGTTTGAACAAGCTTTTTTTAAACATGACCCCTTCATTGGGAACTTCTCTCCCTTGCTCCATTCATCCTTAAATCCATACACACAGACATACCCAAGTGAGCTTCAATGATGCTCTCAGCATTTTGGAAATCGTTACAACCAAGATTAAATGAAAACTGACATGCAGATCATACAATTCAGATCATACAAATCTGTGTTACATTTAGCTTAAAAACTTGAAAAATTAGACTACTCATTTGTTCATGCAATTCTTATTTTTGAAGAGATTTTCCACGCTCATAGCAAATACTGTATGCTGCATATAGCACAGACTTCCTCCTTCTGCACAAGATCAGCAGTGAAGAAATACATACCAGAACTGTAAATCAGATCAAAGCTGCAAATATTCTGCAAACAACTATTAACATAAGGGAGGGGTATAAGTAATTGTGAGAAATCAAGACGGACGTAAGTTACCCAGCTTTTTCAGTAAAAAGCTTTGAAGATCATGGTAGTATAAACCAAAGAGGCTCTCCAGATTCTTTGCAAGTATGAAAACTACTTAATTCCAGAGCTGTTTTGTTAGGCTGTGTACAGCCTGAGTTGGATTTCGGGTCCAGCACGCCATGACAACATGGTCAAAAGCTAAATAACACCAACACACACCTGCAGAAAACTATTCTTCTATTTTAGTTTGCTGCAACAAGGTTAAGTTTACACATACAGTTCAAGCTTAAGTAACACAACAACAACCCGCTTACAACTCCTACTACCACCAAAGATACCCAGAGTGTTTTTTGTCTTTCCTTGTTCTCAAACATTTGCAGATAGCTACCACAGTCTCTGCTAACAGCTCAACAGAAGTTATTACCCAGTAAGACACTCTCCCACGCACTGATGCTAGTTTTGCATGCTAGAACTTAAGTTTGACATTTATGAGCCCCATGGCCTTGTAATTAGACTACTAATAATGTTAAATTGTATTTCTTAAGTATCTCAAAACCAGAGCAGTAGTATTTTCACTTATAGCCTATCAGACTGATAAATGAGCTGGAAAAATCAGCTGCACTTCCGCACTTAATGAGGTATGAGTAGCAACCCAGACCCTTACTGGTGTTCAGCAAACAGTGTCCATTGCAATTAACCTCTTCATCAGTAACCTGACTGATGCACAGAACACCATCAGCAAACTCAGAGACAACGCAGGAATACAACTGATGTCAAGGCTTTAGTTGAGCAGGACTTTGGGAACACTGATTATTAAAGAAACTTTAAGTAACATAAGAACTGAAGAGTTCTACAGCTGAACGAATGCCACTTACGAGCACAAGCTGAGCAGCTGCACAGTTACTAAGAACCTGATGGTATTGACAGACGCAAGTTGAACACCAGCCAAAAGCAATTCTCTGCAAACAAGGTAAAGCCCCTTCTGAGGGTCTGTACAGGCAACTGGAATTGTTTACTCTGGTAAAGTAGAGGTTAAGAGGAGATTTAATTGCGTCAGTACTCAAGCAGCAGTTACAAAGACTAGTCAAACCTTTTCAAGAGGTGGCAAAAGTATAACAAAGAGAAAACAGATTGCTACTTAGGAGGCACAGGTTTACTTCGTTAGGATGAAAGTTATTTAAGACAGGGCAACAGCTCCAGATTGATTAAATGGAGGTGGCAGACTGTCCTTGAAGACCTTCACCTCTTTGATAAGGAAGGCATGATTAACTTTGGCAGCAGACCTAATTCAAGCAGGAAATAAGATGAGATAGCCTCAGGAAATCCCTTCTGAATAGCAATTTTATTTAGTATGGAATATTTTCCAGATATTTGCAATCTATACTAACAAAACCAAAATCCCTCTCCTTCTAATATTCAGTGACACTGTTCTTAACATATTTGTTTTCCTCCTCCTCCTATACGTATACCTGTATTTGTAATGCACATACACTTGCACTGACTGTCAGATATCACCAATTCAGTTACTCCAGAACAGCAATGTACTGAACTCAGCAGAGTAGATAGATTTTTCAACACAAGAGGTGAAGCGCACAATCTATTCAGTCAAAGCTACAACAGTTTTCCAAATTTATTCCTTCTTTGGCCAAAAGAACATAGGAAAGAAATGCTCAATCTCCTCCCTTCCTGATCCCTGAACACACGGATGAAACTGCCTCAACTACAGCTGAAAGAACGACCACTGTGCAAAGAAACCACATGACCAAAATTCATATACTTTCTAAGTTAAATCAAAGCTCAAGAAAGTCCTAGAACTTCAGTATCATCTTTTCCCACATCATCTATTTAGATCCTCTCTTCCAAATTGGTTGAGAAACAAAAACAACCAGATACCCACTTTTGCCTACCATAAAACTAACTTGTTGATGGTTTTGCCATGTGGAAACTTGAACCGTATCCACAAGTCGTTCTTACGGAAAGCAGCACTCCTCCAAACACAGCCATCTGTAAACAGACTTATTTCCTGGCCTGACTTTAAAGGCAACTAGATTGTGCAGTTAAACAGCCGGGTTTGTCACACTCACTGCTGCTTGAAAAACTCAGCATCCAAACAATTGTGGGAAATTGGCATTTTAGTTTATGAATGATTGCTGCATTGGCGTTGTTCTCCCCACTGAGAAAGGAATTTATTATTAATTCTGCTGCAAAGAAGACATTGCTGATGATAATGTAAAACATTTTCAACGTCAAACTTCATATTCTCAAGTACTCGTTCTTCAGACAGTGCACATTTCAGATACCCATCAGGTTCTGTCCCAAGCGATTTCCAAGAAAACTCATCCTTCACTCTGACAACATCCATACATTTTTGCTCCTGGTTCCTGAAACTCCACTGTGAGCATGCTGTCATGTCTCATTCTCACTGGAGTATTTGACAATACTCACTAGAACAGCACACAACAGCAATAAGAGCATCCCAGGAAATTATATCCTAAAATGAAAACGGACTTATACTTTACATAATAGGTGTTAAGAATATCCATGCCCATCACTAAGTAATCCACAAATGCTCTGTCTACAATTTATTCATTCTCACTGTGTGTCTGCAAACTGTAGAATTCATCAGCTATTTAAAATAAAAAAAAGTCAACCATATTCAGACTTTATTCTTATATCTCAGAGCACATCCATGGATTTCCAGGAGCTACAGACTCTCAAGGTAAAATGTAACAGGTAATATACTTGTTGAAGAGTTTAAGTATCTGCCTTAAATTAACAGCTCTGTAATTCACCCCTTCCCACCCCATCCCCAACCCCCCCCCCAAAAAAACAAAAAAAACCAACTAAATAGAAGCAAATAGAAAACCATGTGCACCCCTAAGACAAATAACTTCAGCAACTTCAGTAACTTCAGCAGGATAACTTTCGGCCTTCTCTGGACAAGACAACTGTAACAAGAGCTTACAGAGCTGGCTTCCCACGTGCAGGTCTTCGCTGAAGTGCAGGTCAAGACAGACAAAGAATACAGGAGACATCAATACTATGTATATTCATTCCACATTAGAAGTAAAAAGATGCTTATTGCTTCAACATGGTTTACTGTGGTTCGGGATTTTCTGGATTAAACAAAGCGCACCTTGTAAAGTTTCTGCCTTGTGGCATCCTGTGATGCTGTGACTACTCCAAAAGTTAGCTCCAGTTGGTTTCCTCAAGTTGCATATGAAGATTACTCTCCTTAACAATCAGGGACTTACCCATTTCCGAAGATATATCTCAGCTGAAAATCTTTAACGTATGATACGTCGGGAGATGCTGTGGCTGAAACGACCATATGTTCTTACCTTGAACCTTCATGAAATGCTGAGCCTACAGTAGATTAAGCAGTATCATTTTCCAGAAGCGTAGGTCTTTCTGACAGACACCTGCATCCCACCACTCTTCCTGCTGTCTTGCTATCACACTTTCTTCTGTCCTCTTAAACAAGTTTCAGTTTTCATACTATGCATCTTTTGCATTACTTCTCTAAAACAAGACTTTACATTCTTGAAACGGAAACTATTCAGCAATCAAGCTTACAAGATTACATTCATCATCAGTACCATTCTTAATGATCTTTTCCAGTACGAAATCCAAAGCATGGTATAGAAACTCATCTTCCTCTAAAAATATTCCACCCATGGCCAAAAAAATCTGTTGTTACTGAGATATCAATAAAATTCTACACCGCTGAAAACCCCTTGGGACACTGCATAGACACGTGCATCTTCAGAACTCTTGCAGAATTTGTCAAGTAGCATTTCTAAGAGGAGCACTGCATGCTGATCTCATGTGTACTGATGCAGAACATCTCAGAGCTGTTCACACACTTGAATGATGTGCCTTGCACAAACATTCTGTTTTCAGCCCGAAACCACCAGTGCAGGTAACAGAGGCCAGGGTCTTAGAAAATAGACTCTGATCAGTGCTTTCACTGGATCTTCCTCCTGTGCTGATTCTTCAGAGTGCAGTAAGAGGTGAGCTCAGCCAGCAGCGCTTCTGTCAGTGAAGGGCTGACATCACATTGTTCTGTGCAGATACGTACTCAGAAGCCATTCTGACTAATCTGGTTCAAAAGATACTGGAGAACAGACATCAAAGCCAAAACGTGTTTCTGTAAGCCTAGTTTCTTAGGAGAACATGCTAAAAAGATGAACTAGAAATGAAAGGCTTGTTTCTTGTGATGGCTGTACATCCATTCCAGTTCATAATCTTCACAATAGTTTTTATTCACTACTTCCATATATGCCAGTGTTCTCTGCTTGTGGTACTTTAAAAATCTTGTGCATCCATGCTTTTATAGCACACCATATTGAAGCAAGTCATATCCCAGATTTTGAGTCCTTTTACCATTTACTCTCATTTTCTTGGCACATGTCAGTCTGGATCCATATTCTCATTTTATGGAACAACATTCCCCAACAACTCAGTTTACACTGAGTGGGTCTTTGCTACTCCAGTCCACACTACAATGAAGAAAGGCATAACATTCCTGTGATGCAGCTAGGCAAGTTCAGCACAGGCAAAGCAGCATCTGCAGCAGTGCTGTGTTAGCCTACTTGTATAGATTCTTAGCATACTGCCTGAAGCTTAGCAATGAGAGCACGAAGCTGACAACAAGCAGAAGACAGTTTAGCTTGGGAAGGTAAGAAACTAAGATATGGCCTACCTATTCCTCCATTAAACAGATATATAGGTACTTAGAAGTGGAAAGGCAAAATTAAGGAAGGCGTCGTACTGGTAAGTATTTATTAACTCAACAGTTCATTAGACAAATACCTCAAAAAATGTTCAGCATATAAAGAGAACCATAGTTACAGGTGTACAGATATGACAAATGCAGATATACAAACTACCGGAAGAGCAACAAATATTAAACCCCCCAAGTAGTATCTACACTAAAAAGCTGGAAAGATAAAAGCATTATACTTACAATAGACAGTCTTGAATCTCAGTGCTTCTTCTTTCTTTAGTAATGAAGATGCAAGTCATCCCAAAATAAAATAAGAAAAAGAAATTAATGTGCTGCGCCGTTTGAAGGAAAAATCCCGTACTTCTTAAGCAAAGCCTTTGCAGACAAATTACAATACAGGCCAAAGTTTCCATTATCAAATAGGAAAAAATGAGCCTTTATGATTATCTGCAAAAGCTCGAAGTACTGGCAAAAGCATACTTACAGTTAACATAAGGTAAATTTCAAGAAAGCCCTGGTATTAATGGAATTGTAAGATACCAGAACTTACAACCAGAATTGTAAGAAACCAAAACTTTGGTTTCCACATGACTGCAGCCCCTAAAGTTCCAAAAACTGTAGTTCCAACAAGAAAAAACCTCACACAGAAAAGAATAACAAGCTAACAAAAAAACAGCTTTCCCAACATATTGGGTGGGTTTGTATAAAATTCCAGGATAGCCAAGTCTCCTGAAACTTTATTCTGTCATGAAGAACGGGAAAAGTGGCTTTCATCAGCTGGATCCAGAACAGATCACTTTTTGGAAGCATCTGAGAAAAAGAGTAACTTAAATTTCCATTTTAAAACGTGGCTAAAACCAATACTGACTTATTTTTAGACCTTTTTAGCAAATATGTACAAACTTGCCACCAAAAAAAATGAAAAGAAGCGTCATCATTCACAGCAAGACAGTTGTTTACTCACGAGCACTTCATGGAGTTCAGTGCTCTATTTTCAGTACTCAGTGCCACGGAAGATATGTTGCATGTGAATGTGACAGCTCAATAACAATCAAGACTGACACAACAGTTTTGTCTCCTTTCAAGAAGCTAAACAGTTGATCTTTCACAGTAGCTAAAAACAAAATAGAGAAAAAAAGGAAGTCACTTCACCCCAGTAGCATCACAGATAGTGAGTGTGTGGTGCTGCATGAACTCAGCAGGATCCTGTAAGCTTGGAACACAGGGTCTTCCTTCCAGTTATACTGCCACAAGTACTTTTGTTATGCATAAACCACTTGTCATTCTACACCAATTTAACAATAAACAGCTGTTAATACCTGACATTTCAGAGAAGCATTGAAAAATATTAGCAACTGCGAGCTGCTGTTGAAAGAAAGTTTCTTCCTAACCACTTCTGGACAACCAATTTCAACTGCACTTAGATTATTGCTTTAACACTAAAAATGTTGCGACCCATCAGTTTCAAACTGTGGAACAAGTAAAACAGAACTTCTCCAGTGAGTGCTTTAAAAATAAAGGAAGAGGAAAACAAAAGAAAAAAAGAACAACAAAACTGTTTTGAGAGTGAATATTCTCACATATTGAGAAACTTTTTCTCTGTCCTTGTGTAACAAGCAAATTGCAACAACTGTTTTTGAGCTAAGACTGTAAAAAGTTAGAGTAACTTTTAACAAAGTGTCTAACTATGAGAAGTCAAAACTCAAAAACTGCTGTTCCAACCTCCTAGACACATTTTGAGATTAGTCTCCACAAATTCCAAGGTCAAGGGTTATCAAACAAAACACTGTTTCACATGCTGTTAATTATGTAAACATCATCTAACTCTTCCTAAATACATACACCCTTGAAATCACATAAGCTACGTCAGCAGCGAATTAACAGAAACTCCATTTATTCAACAGAACGGCTTAGGTTGGAAGGGCCCTCAAAGCCCACCCTCCCCACCCCATGCCATGGGCAGGCTGCCCCCCACAGCTCAGCTGCCCAGGGCCCCATCCAACCAGGCCTAGAGCCTTCAGGAACGGGGCACCACAGCTTCTCTGGGCAGCTGTGCCAGCGCCTCACCGCCCTCTGAACAAAGTTCCCCCAAACACCTAACCTACATCTCCTCTCTTTTGGTCTAAAGCCATTTCCCCCTTTCCTTTCACTAAAAGCTGGTCTCTCTCCTGTTTATAAGCTCCTCTCAGGTACTGGAAAGACACAACGAGGTCCCAAATCTTCCTCTTCTCCAGGCTGAACAAGCCCAGCTCCTTCAGCCTGTCATCACAGGACAGATTCTCCAGCCCTCTGATCATCTTCACCATCCTCCTGTGGACCCACTCCAACAGCACAAATGCCTTTCTTGTGCTGATGGCCCCAGGCCTGGACACAGTACTCCAGATGCAGCCTCACGAGGGCAGAGTAGAGGAGGACAATCAATTCCCTCACCCTGCTGGTCACTCCTCTTTTGATGCAGCCCAGGAAACATTTGGCCTTCCCAGATGCAAGAGCACACAGCTGGCTCACTGTTAAGCTTTTTGCCCATCAGGTTCCCCATGTCCCTCTCCAAAGGATTGCATTCAATGAGTTCTTCTCCCAGTTTGCACATATATCTGCAACTGCTCTGACCCAAGTGCAACATCACACACTTGGCCAAGTTGAACCTCAGAAAATACCCATGTGCCCACTTCTCAAGCCTGTCCAGTTCCCTTTCATGGCATTCCTCCCTTCTATTGCATCCAATGCACCACTCAGTATGGTGTCATCTGCAAACTTGCTGAGGGTGCACTCAATCCCACTGCCTACATCACTGATAAATACGTTCAAGAAAACTGATCCCAAGACTTCCATTCATCACCAGTCTCCACTTGTATATAGACCCATTGACCATAACCCACTGGCTGCAACCAGCCAACCAATTCTTTATCCACCACCTTCATCCAGCCTTCAAATCCTTATCTCCCCAGCTGATAGATAAGGAGGTATTACAGGCTCACATTATAGGCCTTGGAGAAGTCCAGATAAACAACATCAGTTGCTCTTCTTTTGTCCACCAATGCCTTTTGCTCCATTACAGAGATTGGTTGGGCACGATCTGCCTTTGCTGAAATTATGTTGGCTGTCTCATATCTCCTCTTTGTCTCACACATGCCTTCACATAGCTTCCAAAAGGATCTGCCCCATGATCTTCCCAGGCACAGACGTGAGGCTCATCAGCCTGTACTTCCCCAGCTCTTCCTTCCTCCCTTTCTTAAAAATGGGAGTGATGTTTTGTTTTACTCAGTCATGGAGATCCTTGCCTGAGAGCCACAATTTTTCAAGCACGATGGAGAATAACTTGGCAATCATATCAGCCAGTTCCTTCGGGATCCTGGGCTGCATGACATCTGGACCCACTGATGTGTACACACCCAGGCTCATGCGATGGTCTCAGACTTGCTCCATTCTCACAGTGGGACAGATTTTGCATCCCCCAAAACTCGTTCAGAGGACACAATAACACAATAGGCTCAGGAAGACTGACAGCCAGCTAAGACCAAGGCGAAGAAGTCACTGAGTACTTGAGCCTTCTCTATATCCATTGTAGCCACTTCTTCCTTCTCATTTATCAAAGGGGGTACACTCGGCCAGTCTCTTTTGATCAATATACCTATAAAATTCCTTTTTTTCATATCTCTCACCGAGCATAGCTCCATCTGTGCCCAGATTCATCCCTGTATTCTAAACAGGCCATCCATTCCTGCTTCTGCTGCCTGTACTGTTCCTTCTTTTCCCTTCAGTAAGTCCTTACTCAGGCACACCAGTTTCCTTCCTCCTCCACACAATTTCCTGTGGTGGGGGTTGAAGAGCTCTTGTGCTCTCAGAAAGGCATCCTTAAAGAGTTGTCAGCTCCTCTCCTTTGCCCCCAAGCTTCCCAGGAGATCACATCCAATAATTCCTTAATCAGCCTGAAGTTCCCAAAGTTCAGGGTCTTCACTTTGCTTTTGACCAGGCTCATATTCCTAGAGCTCACTAACTTGACCAAGGCATGATTGCTACAGCATTAACTGTCTCCAATCTTAACTTCTTTAACAATCTCCTCCACTATCTCCTCCTGGCAAGCACCAGATTGAGGAACACTTCTCGTCTGGCTGGTCTATCCAATACCTGGATCAGGAAGTTATCTTCAATAGACTGCAGGAGTCTCCTGGATTGCTTGCAGTGTGAGGTTGACACAAACATATTTTTTTGTGTAGGAAAAGTTCTACAGTTTAATCATGAAGATAAGCTACAGAGGTTCACAGTGTACTAAGCACTTGATACACTTCACAAACACCATAATGTCAAGGCAAGTTTCCAGTATCTGAAACCTGTGTTACTAACCCAAGTATTAAAATAAATGCTTTTTCCAAGCACAGTTGATTTTAATACCATGCCAAAGGATATGTAAATTGCCACACGTTGGGTATTTTCAATCAACAGTTCTGATGCATGACAACCAGTGGCAAAAGGTAGAGCAGAGTCAAGAATACATAAATGGTGAAGAAAAAAGCCTAACAATTTCTCATTTCTAATGAGGTCACGAAGTCCTGAATCCAGATTCTTCTCTTGAATTTGAGCGTTCCTACTCTCCCAAAATAGGATGGGAAGACAGAAAGTGGGAATCCTTGATATAATCAGGAGAATCTTCATCTGTGCTCCAAATGCAGCTAATAGAAGAGGCAATGCTTACTCTATTGGGACCATCCATACAAAGAACTGCTCAAAACACAGGAGAGAAAAAAGAAAAAGAAAAAAAAAAAAAAAAAGACACTCCACTCCAGAATTTCCTCTCTAGCACAATATTCCTGTTACTCTTGGTACAATGAGAAATACGACTGAACTTACATAAAACTGTATTGTCTAACCAGTTTACAATAAACGTTCAACTGTTTTCAAAGTAGATACATAATACAAGCTAATTCCAACTTCCTAAGAGCTAAGAACTTTATGAAAAATACATGAATACCACTCTAATCCTCCCCCCACCAATATTCGTTCATCAATGAAACCACAAAGCCTGTCAGTATGCAACTATACAAAAGTAGTAAGACACTCAAAATGTAAGATATACACAGCCTTGCATTGCAACCATCCCAATTTCAATCTTTTTACACTGGTAGTTTTTACAGGATTTAGGCCTTGTGAATTACCAGCATTAGGTGTGTACTCTGCTTATTCTCCTGCGTAAGGACAGGAAGCATCATCTTCATCAATACAGAAGTTAGTGCAAAAAAACCAAACTGGTTAAGGAATATAAACAAAGCACTATTCATTATCAATATGTAGTCTTAAAAAGAACTTAAGCTTAGCACTTTTATGGTGGCCTCATGCTTGGTGATATTAAGACTTCTTTTGGTATCTCAATGAATTTTGATCTTCTGCGATCTCACAATTAAAAGTAAGGCATTAAAACTACTTGAAAACAATGACAGTGTGTCCTCGCAGACTTATTCCTACAGAAATGTAGACATGTGACGTACCAGGACTCCATACCAGCACTGACATTCAACACCTAATAATCACCCAGTTTCCAACATGTCTGATGCTTGCTCACTATCAGTTCATAGCCATCATTAGCTCAACAAATTTAAAAGAACGTAGCCAAGGATAGAGTGATTTACTCTTATTGAAGAGAAGGAATGCAATACGTGGATATGCTGGGAGAACTGGAACTGATTTTTCGGCTTTAAAAAGGAGAAACAGCAGTAATTCGATCACTATGAGGGTTAGCTAAGAAATAAAAAGAAACAACCACAAAACCAAAAGAACTTCTTGAATCAGCAAGAACACTGGACAGGACATGAAAAATACTACCATACCACAGATTTCTGTTGGTTCAACAAAGAACACTATGACCGAATCCTGGGAGAAAGCATTTGGAGAGCCATGGACCCAAACATTGCTTATGCATCACACTACTGAAATGATTAGCTAGCAGGTTATGAAATACTACTGAACAGCTCTGAAAGCCAAACTGTAAAAAATGCCCTTCCTCTGCAAATGAAAGGGGAGCCTGAATACTTGAGAAAAAAGGCACTGCAGTAAGCCTTGTGTTCTGGCAAGAATAAAAGATCATCAGGAAAACATCACAGCAGACACTTCTAAGTGCCGCCACAACACAATATGATGACAGCCATCTTCTGTAACAGGGAAAAGAATGGACAGACGAACACGCCCCAGCTTTACTCATTTTAAAATTTTCTTCTCAGTCTCAGATAACTGTCAGTCATGCAGTTAAAAGCTCAGTCAAACAGCATTTGGAAAGGTCTTTTCTCAGCACGTCCCCACAGAATACTGTCTAGCAATGTAAGCAAAATACAAGGAAAAGTAGTAAAATATGAAGCTGCCATTTGAGATGCTTCAAGAAAATGGAGCGAACTCCCGTAGGAAATCTGAACTGGCGTTACCATGTATAAACAAAGTTCATGCTCCAAGCAAGCTGGTTTTCTTCAAAGTACAAGCGAGTTATGCAGTCTTGGAAAACACAGCAGTACATTCATTAACTACACCCAAATTCAAAGTTTGCACTCTTACCATGTGTGACTTCTGTACAACTCAAAACACAATTTCACATTTAATATGCATTTGCCTTCAGAGTAACTACTGATGTTGCAAGTTACAAACTAAACAGAGTTGAGACTCCAACCTCAAAGTCTTGTTCTTGGGATTTTTTCATGGGAACAGCTGCTACAGATCTACAGATGGGTTAGACAAGCACTTGAATACTTGTGAAATCAAATACTATTACAAGAATCCCAGGTTTAAGATTAAATTAACATAAACATGTAATATGGAAAGAAGTTACCTTTCTATGCTTCATACCACGATAGTGTGACTGAAGACTTATAGAACTCATACATGGAACTTTACAAACCTAAAAAGATAAATTGAAAGTACATCTTCAGTTATGCTGTGGATATTTTGTAGTTGGCAAGGTGTAAGACTTGGAAATATAATTTTACATTAAGATGCTGGAAGTCTTTTATGACTTAAACAGAGCAGTTTAAATCACATCAGGAGTGTGCCACCAAAATGACCAGAAATAGTGTGCAAACCTGTTCAAATAATACTTCAATATATATTTAAGTATACTGGCTGGCATGAATCTTTGCGAAGCCTACACTTCCCCTCCTACCCTCAATTACTGGATTCTTAGTTCTCCAAAATTCTCCAGCCAATAAGAAATGATCACACATTGATTAGAAAGGATTGGAGACCAAAAAATATATCCCGGAATAACTGGAACTCCATTCATCATTTTATCAAAGGGATCAGAAAAACAGCAAAGGAAGCCATCTGCGCTAGGATCCACAGAACATCGTAACAATTATAGGATATCGCTTGACAATTATTTCCTTCAATCATTAACAATAGAAAGCAATGATACAAAAAAAAACAAACCAATATACGATAGCATTACCTATCACCTTGACATGCTGTCATATACCTTCAATATGCCAGAAAAAGTTACTGGAACAATATGTGATACATAGAAACTTAACATGCTCTGATCCAGAGCAGCATCCTTTAAGACATAAGAGACTTTAAGAGGTTCTGTAAGAATAACAAACAGAAATCTAAAAGTCAGCCTTTAAGGGCCACTATAGTATACCTGTAACTGCTCAAGAACAAACCAAATTCACAAAACCAGACAAGCAGTTCTTCCAGGAACCGGCCAAATTATCTTCTAACATTAACAGCCTCTCCCACCTGCCTGCCACACTGCAGCTCGGTCAGTTCTGTCTAACTTCCGTGGTTTTTAATACCTTAAGCCTGTATTCTGGCATGTATTCAAAAAAGTCATTAAGAAAGGCACTCACTTCACAGTAGTATATTTTTTTTTCAGATTCTGGTTTAGCATCTTCTGGCTTAGCATCTTCAGCAATGGCGCTCATCCTGCAGAACTGTTTCAAGACACACAATTAAAGACAGAAATCCATAATAAAAAATAATATTCCTGCTCACACACAACCCTTTAGCGGACAATTGCGGGGAAGGAGCAAAGCATCCATCGGGTGAATAAAGATTAATTCCTTTCTAGAGCCAACCACGTATTTCACTGCCAGGACATCGCCGCAGCCTCAAGCCTTCCGTTAGGGCACCTTCCTGCTTAGCTTCACACCACACGCTTCACACAGAAGACAGAAAAAAAAGAAAACACACCGACCCCGGGCTGCCCATTTCTCCCCATTCCTCCCCCTCTCACCCCCGCCCTCCCGCCGCACACACCCCGCAGCCCGCGCCCGTCCCCTCATGGCACTGAAGAAGCGGCGGTACCTCCGAGCCGCTCCCACCCCCGGCGCTGGGCTCGCACGCCGCCGGCACGTCCCCAGGCGGCTCGGTAACGACAGCAACCGCCGCCAGCCTTCTCGCGGCGCGCCCAGCGGCACCGTCACTTCCGCTTCCTGCCGGCGGAGAGAGCGCCCCAACCCCGCGCGGCCGGCGCGCGCCCTTTCCGTTAGACGGACGCGGTCCACGAGGCGCGAGGCCGCGCCAATCGGCTCAGCCAATCGGAGCGCGGCTCCCTCAGGCGCGGGAGAGGCGGGAGGAACGGACGGCAGGGCTTGGCTTTAAATGCAAATATTTATTATTTCTTTTAAAATGTCTGAACTTTACATTTCGGACTGGTAATAAATGTAAAATATAATTTAAGAAATACACATGAAAGTTCCCTCTAAAAGCAGACTGAGAAAACAGTACAATAATAATAAAAAAAAAAAAAAAACAAAACAAGAAAACAAACAAACAAAAAAAAACCCCACAAAACAGAAAAGTGCACCTGTTACAACAAAATTCCAACATACAAAATCCACGCATTTAATTAGCCTGCTGCCGATACACCTGGGGGGTCTATTACGACTGTATAGGAAGCAGCATAGTTGCTGCTGGTTGGATTACACGTTAGCAGAGGATCCCAGCTCCAGGCTTTGCTGACGCCCGTCCCCGCAGTTCCACGAGTGCATCAGCCTTACGCCTGCTCCGTGCACCCACTGGTGCGTGCTCACAGTGCTCAGCACGGGGCCTGGTCCTTCAGAGCTGTGCCCATAACATTGGGCTCACGTAATACCCATCTGATGGGGAGAAGCAGTCAGGCCAAGTGTTGCTTGGTCTCTGTGCTCTTTTTATTTAATCTTGTCCTCTACTGTTTGGACTTAGGAGGAACAAGAATGGCACTTTTAATTTTTAATTTTTATTTTTTTATGGCTAACAGCAGATTTTGATACCGTATTTTATTATTTCTACGTTTCTGTAACAGTTACAGGCCTTAAGATGGGGTCACATTGAAGCCCTCAATAATTCTTTGCAGCTCTGATTCCAAAACCTAAAATGGACTGATAAGAAACACTGCTCTGTACACTCTAAACAATACTTCCATACTCATCTTTTAGAAAATTACATATTAAAAGTGCAACTGCACAGTGAAAGGATGAAGGCGTGTAGGAAAGAAACGAAGGATCCAAAAAGAAGAAAGTGGGCTCCTTCATTTCTGTAAAGAGAGGGCAGGTCCGAACGCAAAAGCGTTTGGCAGTGTATACTTGAAGAATTAAACTCCTGGTGGCAGCTCAAGTGCTTCTCGGCAATACAGCTGCCTAAGTAGGGTAAGCTTCCTCAGCAAAAGAACTTTTTTCTGTTTTACGAGCTGTAATTACTCCAAGACTTCTGTTAGTACCTCTGTCTTCTTCAAAGGGGACAGGGAAGGTAATGGGGCATTGCACTTCTGCATAACGTTGTTCTTTTGGCAAAGCTTTGAAAGTGTGCCTGGAGTAGATAATAAAGTTATGGAGGCACAAAACAGAAAGAGTGGAGGCTGCAAAGTACCATCCTATCACAAATCACAAAGGTAGAAAACCTTGAGGGAGAAAAAGGAGAAGTTTTTCAATAGGTACAGACACCTTTAAGGAAGAAAGGGTTCTTTGGTTTCGTTAGGAACCTGTGAAGAGGTAAAGGAGTGTGAAGAAAAGCCCTTTCAGAAGAGGGAACGCTGCTAGTCATGTAGAGGAAGAATCTTCCAGAGTATCCAACCCTGCCCACATCAGGGAGGTTGGAACTAGATGATCATTAAGATCCCTTCCAACCCAAGCCTTTCTATGATTCTATGACTATGATGAAAGTAGAGCAAAAAAAACACACACAGTGTTGCTGCTTGCCTCCCATTGCCTCAGATTTTAAGTAAACGCAGGAAGAAAATGATGCACAAATTAAAAAAAAAAAAGATGAAGAAGAAAGAAAAAAAGTTCAGAAGTGACAGTAATGGGATAAGGAAGGGAGAGACCAAGGTGTGACCTAAGAAGAAGCAGAACAGTGGTGACACACCTGTGACACTCTCCTGTGCAAAATGGAGAGTTCTAAACCAGAACCTCATCTGATTTTTTAACATAGTCTTTTAATTAATTGGCTGAAATTACTGAGATTAGCTATGAAACTGATGCTCTTTATATTGCCTTCTGCCACGTGTTTGTGTTTTCCTCATACTTAGGCACTGGAAAACCATAATTCTACCAATACAAGTATGAAAAGGAAGTTTTGAATGTTGTACAGCTGTCACTGCAACTGTGTCGCAACAAGGAAACTCTGGGATTCCAATTCAGGCTGCACAACCAGAGCACCAAGTGACAGTTCAGTGGCAATGACCAGCTGCAAGGGTGTTAATGCAGACACTAAATTTGTCATAGTTGCAAAAAGTAACTCCGTGCAAGGAAGAGGAGCACTGCATGCCTCCTAGAATGATGCTTTCAGTCTGATGGAGAAACACACCCTAGCACTGAATGACCTCAATCCTTGTTTTCAAGGAGCACAGAATTGCTGGCAATGAATTAATGCTGTAGTCACAAAACACCTTGACAGCAATGTGTCATTGAAGGTGATAATTCTTCATCCTCAGATTTGTCTTAGTAATAATGTTTTACTCTTTCTCCCCAAACACTGTCATTGATGATCTTGTTCAGTGCTGTTAATTGAAGTATGCACTTCAAACTACATTTGAATTTCTATCTAAATTCAAACTAAATTTAAAGAAATTGGAATCTATCTCAATTTACATCCCAACACAACTTCTAATGTGATAAAACTTGTAATTCAGTTAAATTTTATCAATGCATACTCCACAGTTCCAGAAACACTGCTCGTCGTATTTGACTTGCTTCAGATTTCAGAGTATCTGAGAGCAGTTTGTTACAAGCAAAGACAAATCTAAAAACTAAGAATATCAATTTTGAGAAAATGTCACTCAGGCCAGCATATAGAACACAGTTCTCTACAGGTAAAAAAGCAACGTGATAGGTGAGAGAAAGAAGAGAAGAAAAGGACATGGTATGTTTGCAGGGGGAGGGAAGTAGTTATGATAGTATCATGGGGCAATGTGTGAATATGTGCCACTTGGATTCAAAGGTGTACTTGTCAGGATGATGGCATCTATGAACATGAGCTACTGGTAGCCTTCACCTATGAGTCATGTTCGGCTAAATGAGAGCCATGTGGCTAAACCCTGAGCATGGCCACCTGCAGAACCTCTAATGCACATATTACAGAAGTCTGCTTCAGTTACAACACGAGATTTCACAGAGGATTTTACAAGACTTAAGAGAGGAAGAAAATCCAGGGGAAGAAACTTATTTTCTAGTGAGTGAGCAGAAGGAAAAGACAAAAAATAAAGTAGGAAAGCTCTATACATCTATCACTGAGCTGGGATCTTAGTTACATGACACACCAATGAAAGAAAATGAGTAAGGATTTATTTTGTGACTACCTGAGGCAATATATGTATTTATAGATAGAAGAAATTATATCTTTTTCTTGTTTCAATTAAAATATCTTTTTCTTTTTTTTTCCTTTTTTTTTTTTTTGTTAGATAAATTAATGGCTTTTATGAAATAAATACCCTGGGTGGGTTGTTCTACTTAAGTTCCAATATGGCTTCAACAGAAAGAGTTAAGCAGGGCTTCCAAGCAGCAGAAGCTGATTCTATCCCATAGACAATTCCTTGCCTCAGGCTGGATGCTTTCCACGTAAGTATTTTAAGCATTGGGAATTTCCAGGAGAATTGCACATGCCATATCAATGTTAATACTATCTCAAGGATCATAAGAAGAAGTCATTCTGAACTGGCTGACACACAAATGTCAGACCTTCCTAAGCCATCCAGAGGACACCGAGACTCAATTCTAAGGATTTCAATATATCAGTGTCATCTAATTAAGGGCAATGAAAACATTAACACATTATAATCAAGTACTAGGAAGTCAGTCTGTCCTACAAAGAATTTAGGTATAGCTGTTTGCTCTTCTATTTCACTAGTTAGATCTCCAGACTGTGGACCAACTGAAACCAGGTCATTCCTTGCACACACACTGCTCTCTCTTTAGATTCCCAAAACAAAGTTTTGTTTTGGTATCCTAAGAGTCTGGATTAAATATAAATTATTGATAGTGTTACCTGCCCCAGTTTCAGCCACTGGTCTTAACTGCATCCTGGCAAACCTTAGAATAGCCAAAAAAGTCCACTCTGTGGTACACACTTACCCTTAGCTCAAATCAGGCTGGTTTTTAAGTAAAAACTGGAGGTTTAAGTGGTATGCTTTAATTGGACCAGTATTTGTAAGGTTCTGTGCAGCTGTCTGCTAATAGGTAAATTAGGCCAAATTCACAGTGAAGGCAATAGCTTTAGCACTGATAATAATCTCTGCTGTCTGTGGTCTAAGTAACACCTCAGAGGCAGATGCACTCTCAGACAACTACAAAAAAAAACACACACAAAAAAATCACACAAATCCAAGAAAACAAACCACCAAACCTCTGAATACCAGAATTAAGAAGTTTGTTCTGCCTCTGATTGAAGAATTTACAGCTGAGGAAGTTTGAATGATATTGTCAGCCAGATCTTAGAAAGCATCGCATCCACACTGGAAAAAGAAATGCATTTCTTTCAGCCTGAATACTCTGTGTTTGCAGCACACAAGCATTTCACTGGGCATTTCTTCTATGAGAGGAATTTTTTTCTTCGTACAATAAATACACTGGGAGGCTCCTAAAACAGATCTCAGGGCTGTGCTTGGAGGATATAAATACCAGCTTACTAAGGATAAAAGCCAAACATCACTGACTGGAAGCATCTTAAACTCTCCTTTTCTAAGCGGTAGTTTTTAAAGGAGTACCAAGAGTACCAAAACAGCGACCACTACAAAGAGAAAGTAACAATTTAAAGCAACTGCCCTGTCTTTTTCTTCTGCCATGGAATCATTAATGCCTGGGTACAAAAAGGTTTTATAACAATAAATTATTGGTAATTTAACAGGGTACAATGCGATGTCAGATTTTAATCCAGAGGGGATGAAGGACAGATTCCTGCTCTTGAAAAACAGATAAGAAGAGACTGGTTTTCAGCATTTATTTTCCCAACTAGTGCAATATGCA